TGTTGTTCTGGAAGGATGATGTGGCACTTGAGACCTGCAAGTTCTGTGGTGGAGAGAGATACAAGCCTGTTCCTCATAGACGAAAAAACCACGAAAAAGGTCTGCATTGTCTAAATTGTTTTACCTCCCTCTAGCTCCACGCCTGCAGAGGATGTATGCTTCAAATGCTACTGCGAAACACATGACGTGGCATGTTGAGCACGAAACCAAAGAGGGTTTGATGTCTCACCCTTCCGACTGTGAAGCTTGGAGACACTTTGACCGTTGTCATCCTCAGTTTGCAATGGAGCCACGGAATGTGCGACTGGGATTGTGTTCAGACGGATTTGCTGCTTTTGGAAAGTTTGGGAAGAAATTTTCATGTTGGCCAGTCATGTTAACTCCTTATAATCTTCCTCCCGACATGTGCATGAAAAGTCATTTCATCTTTTTAACTTTAATTTGTCCAGGTCCCTCGGATCCTAAAAAAAGGATAGACATCTATCTCCAACCCCTGATCGAGGAGATGAAAGAACTTTGGGCCATTGGGACACCAACTTATGATGTTTCGAGAGATCAGATGTTTATCATGAAAGCTGCCATCATTTGGAAATGATGATATATCAATGTTTTTCATGAAGGCTTCCCATCGTTGGCATTTTGCCTTAGACCAAGCGATTCTCAAAGAATACAATTCTAGGATTTCTGGGTGGTTGAGACCCACTTTTAGGACCGCCCGGTCTACGGGTAAAAAGCCAAAGTTCCTTGGCGATGATGTGTGGGAGATGCTTTGCCGCCACTGGGCTACGGATGCCTCATTTTTGCTGAGAAGTGAAATGGGCAAGGCAAACCGGGCTTCCGATAAAGCCAAGGAAGTTCAATGGCACGGGGGCCGCAAACCCCAAAGTCAACATAAAAAAGATCTGGTAAACTCTATTTAGTTAAAATTATTTCCATTCCATACCATTATGTATATATATATTTTTATTAACTTTGAAATCCGTGTAGGAAGGATCTGGACCCGTGCCAAAACGGGTCACGCCATTGAAACTCATGGCACATTGCTGGACTAAGAAGGGTGCCATGCCGCCTCCCCGCCTTTCTGAAATTGAAGTAAATAATGAAACATAATTCAATAAATTTCGATTTTTTTAGATCTCTTATATAATAAATTTTTGAACTTGTAGAAAAAATATGAGGAAGAGCGGGGTAAGAGAGTTGATGAGCTAGCTGATTCTGATGCCGAACTTGATGAAAATCAAGATGATGAAGCCATCTTGGCGGCAACCGGAGTTTACAAGGGCCGGGTGCCGTTTATGGGTTCTGAAGGCGTACGGATCCTCGAGAAGACCAAAAGAGCTAGCTCATCTTCTCATTCGGCATATGATGATCGGGTTACCCGCCTCGAGAAACTATTGGAGGAACGTGAAGCCGAGGCTCGAAGGCGGGATGAAGAAGCTCGGATACGGGATGAAGAGCAAAGAAGAACAAGAGAAAGGTTGGAAGAGATGGAACGCCAAATGCGTATTTTCAACGCCACCTACCGTCCATCCATGCACATACAGCACCCCGAGATGACCCCACAAGTTCCCTTCGCGGGCAATATGGGCAATATGGGCAGTATGGGTAGTAGGGGTTTTGCTAATTATAGCCACATCTCCAACAACTTTCCATATGGATATTATGACGATATCCCGACTCCCGGAACTCAAGCTTACCGTGGCAGCAGCCGTGCTGGCAGCCGCAGTGGCGGTCGAGGCGGTCATCGTGGTGGCAGTCGTGGCCACGGAAGGCAACCCGATCATCGTGACGAACCTGATGATGCTGATGCTGATTATGATGACCATTGATGGTTTGTAATAATTAGTTTATTAACATTTTAAGGATTTTAAAATTTTGATGTGTTAATGTATGAATATTAATGTGTAATGGTTTGATTGTGTTTAAATAATAGTTAATTTGTGTTTTATAATGATGGTTTGATTAGATTATTATTTATTATGATACCTAATGTGTAATGGTGATTAATGATGATTGTTTAATTATTTATTATAAACAATTATTTATTATGATTATTGTTTAACTATTTATTATTAAGTTTAATTTTTTGAAAAAGCGCCTAAATTTTAATGGTTATTTTTATTAAATAAACTTTTGAAATAAACTTTTACAAATGCGCTGAATTTTTAATTTTTTTTTTAAAAAATTTAAACTTTTGTCACGGACTGTTCCGTGACAAAATATAAATTCACGCTAAATTAACGTATTTTTTTTTAAAAAAAATGTTTTGTCACGGATGGGATCCGTGACAAATTCAAAATTTTGAAATTTTTGAAAATTTTAAAGCTCCCGCTCACTCTATTTTAAAAATTTCAATTTTTTTTCAAAATATTTTGTCACGGATATGTCCGTGACAAAATTTAAAATTTGAATTTTCCGGACCGTTTCAAATACCCGCCCACTCTATTTTGAAAAACCTTTTTAAAATTTGTCACGGATAATTCCGTGACAAGTAATTATTTTTTTTTTGAAAAATAAAAACATTTATTCACGGATGCGTCCGTGACAAATGAAAGGCGATGGGATTCCGGTGAAGTGTTTTGTCACGGACCGTGGCCGTGACAAATCCGTGACAAACAATCTCACGGATTAATTTCCGTGACAAAAACGTTATCACGCCCCTGGTGTCACGGATGAGATCCGTGACAAATCCGTGACAAAAAATCATTTGTCACGGATTTTTTGAACTAGCGTCCGTGACAAAATCCGTGACAAACGACGTGTTTTTTTGTAGTGACGTAATTTTTTATTCTGCGCGAAGAATTGAGTGATAATAAGAAAAGTAAATTTGAAGTTACTTTTCTGGCTGTATCAGCTGAAGTTACTGTAAAAGATCATTTTAGTTGTTTTTCATGTAAGTTTATCTTAATTTTATATTTGAAATATAATTTTTCCATAAATGAGTTGAATCTGTCAATCCATCCACTTTGGTCAAAACTTCATAAAATTTCAGCAGAATCAGCCAACACAACTGATTTGAGTATTACTAAAAGGGCTCTTAACATCGGTCCACTGTTGGCCACTGCCGGTTACATAAGAACAATGTTTGACCATTGTGTTAGAACTATTTAACAATATGAAAGAGCATAGAATATAATATTTGCAGTGAAACTGTTTTAAATATTTCAGGTTATTTCATTTTTTGCTCAATTCTTTTTATTGAATTAATTGTACGGAGTATTATTTAGATTTGAATAAATCTGGATACGTGAGTATACGTCCTTTCCCCTATTTACCACTGAGGATGATCACTTAAGAAAAGGGATACCCCGATAAATCTGGCAGAACCAATCAAACAATTTATGATAGCTAAATGAAATTAAATTTTTGTATATTTCTTATAATTTTGTCATTTTTTTCTTGATTCTAAAAATAACGTTATTTTGTGAGATCTTTATTCATTTTTTCTTTTGCATAAAAGTCTCAATTACATAATTTTTTACTTTATGATTTTGCGTGATGGTTAAATCGTTAAACTTTTGACCTATATTTACTCCACATTCTCCTCACATGTAGAAAGATAACTCAGAAGAAATGCCAGACATTTTATATCACATCACAGACAATTTGTTGCAATACATTGGTAGACATCTCAATATCATCACAGAGCAGTCTAAATATACACAACTACTTCACAATTTCACCAGACAGACAACTATTTTCACATTACATACAACTCAAATGGAACGCCAGACAACGCTTTTCACATACAGACAACTACAAATCAATTTTAAAGAATTCATTTCAAATTACAGACAAATCTAATGGAATGACAGACATCTCTTTTCACTTAACAGACAACTACAAACCAATTTTCAACATCCGAAGAGAGACATCACAAAAGTCATCACACGTACTATAAAATACATCTGTAAAATAAGAAGATGTACATACATACAGTTGTTCTGTGTACTCAAACAAATAAATGTGTTTGTCCAGACAGTCATCTTATGTAAGACTCTACCAATTATGAAACCATGCTCAGCTAGACAGACGGTGCACTTCAAATTTGTCTGTCAGACAGACAACCCTTTTTCATGTAGAGTTGGACGAAAAATACCAAAAATGAGGGAAAAAGACCATCTTCACTGTCGGACGGGAGATGCAGTCGGACGGGAACTGCCTCTTCATTGCCTCGATAAAGGTCATGGGGCTTCTCCGACCTCTACCGCCAGAGATCTGAGGGCCAACTCATCATAATTCAGAATCATAAAAAGTACCCGCAAGAGAATCAATGGAATCTATAGACTTCAAATGAAGAAAATAAAGAAGACCTTGGACCAGTTAAACTGCAAGTCTAGGGTGTTCCACCGTAACTTACGAAGCAAAACAAATGCAAGTACTAGTTTACGTGCTTCTTTTCTTGAAGGCACACATGATTCACATGATACACTCTGATCATTGGATAAACGGAGTAGCTATTTTGTTCCCGAATTTGGGATTCTTGATAAATAGCGGTAGGTTGTTTCGTGGCAGTGAGGACGACGGTTGGTTCATGGGAGTGAGGACGGAGATTGTGGCGGATGGGTTGGGAACTGTTGAGGGTGGGAGTTTTTGGAAAGTTGTTGGGGAAGGAAAAAGGTGGGAGGGAATGGAGATTTGAAAATGGAGTTGAGGGGGAAAGTTGTGCGCAAGTGAGAGAAGGAAGGTGAAGTGAGGAGTTAAATTTTTGGAAGGTTTTTATATGGAGAAAAAATGAGATAAAATTGAGGTACCTATATCAAAATTGAAAGTTAGAACAGCTCCTAGGATGTTTTTACTTGAACTGTAATTCATCCCAGACTAGACCAGACTAGACCAGACTTGGATGGTTATAAAAATACAAAGAAACCAGACTAGACCAGATCAGTTCAGACCAGACCAGATCAGACCAGACCAGCACATTACTGTTCACCTAAAAACACCCCTACTTCGATAAAACCTATCAACCTGTTACAATAGTTGAGTTTCTTTTTTTTTACCCAAAGTTAGGGCATCACTTTTCGACTTTGAACACTTCCCCAATCACTTTCTATTTGGAGACCGCTTTTCTCGGCTGGCAAAGTTCTCACTTTCTACAAACCTCCTTTTCATGCGTTGTTTCATTTGAATCAGCGTCCGCTCTGGTGGAGGAGAGGCTCTCTCGTCTTAACCGCTTTCTTCCCACTCCAGTAACCTAAGTAAGTTGTATTACGTATATCTTTTTCTCAGTTAGTCAACCCCAAAGTTATCATCTTGATCTTACTAGATTTCTCCATTACGTCTTCTTATGCGTGTTGCGAAAAATCCAATTAGTTCTATAGTCTGATTCTTTATTCTGAATTCAGAGTTCACCTGCCTTAGAACCCCCACTCACTTAATCAGCGATAGCTTGTTTGTTATACGTGACTGGGGTTCAGAATTACGGTCTGTTCATCTGCTGATTTTGCTGTGAAAGTTGAGTTGCAGGTTGGGTATTGGTTACGATTTGATTTATTTAAATTTCTGCATATGTGTAATCTAATTCTCTAAAAATATCAATTTAGCTTTGCTGATTTCTGGACTTGACTAGTAGGAATGGATTCTTGATATTTTTCTTCAAAACCGCACTCTTGTTGCTTAAGTTTCCTCACCTCTGTTATCAAAATCTTCTTGAGTTTATTACCTTTACAAGTATCATTTTTATTTACACCAAGTTATGTATGAGAACTAATTTAAGTCCAAATTACAGAAGTCGGGGACCATATTGAGCCCTAAAAAAGTCGAGGACTAAATTGAGTGAGAATAATAAAATGAATTCTTGCTGGAAACTTGGAAAGATAAACATTGTTGATTTCACAACTTCACCATGGCTATGTGTATTCATGTCAGAACTAATATACTCCCTCTGTCCCATTTAAACGTTCCCACACGATTTACGACGTTTGACTGACAATAAAGTTAACTGATCCCTGTTATTAGTAGAATTATTTTAAGTAAATTAAATTTACATATTCAGAAACTACATTAAAACCGCTACAAAGCCTGATCAAGAAAATTTAAATTTGATAAAAGTTTGGTATATAAAGTAAAAGATTAAGAACAATGCACGTTGACTGGATAATAGTGGATGGGAACCTTTAAATGAGACGGAGGGAGTAGCAAATTTCCATTGAATAAACACTGGTGAAACCGTAAAAACCGTAAAATTAGGGTTGAGCAAACAGTCGGTGCATTGAATAACTGATGACACGTTTTTAACAATTGTAATCGCCCAAGCACAACCGAAGTAATCACAATGGTCTATACCGAGCTGAATAACTGCATATTGGGTTTGGTTGGTTCCAAGTAACTGACACAGACCAACTGCAGTGATCACTTCAAATGACTGGATAACTGCATATCAGTTGATCTCAATTAAGATTAGTCCGACTATCTTCTGCATTTGTAGGTTCAGTCACTTCAGTTGGCTCTTCATTCGGCATTTCAAATTCTTTTTTCTCCTTCCCCCACCCCGGTTTCTACTTTAACAGACTCCACTTCTCTTTGTTACACACCCTCCGATTCTCTTACAGCTTATGCATCTTTATCCTTCATTCCCTCCCCTTTCTGCTTACTTGATGTCCTTTGTCCAGTTTACCCAGATGGCATCCGGTTCGTTTCTTGTATCTCAATGTCTGAAGTCAATGGTCTCACCTTTCCCTTTTCATTGATCCCTGTTGATGTATGTACTCATGTACTCACGGATCCTCGTGAGGTTATGTGTTTTTAAAATGTCTTGGCAGCTCATGCAGTAGGCTTCAAAATAATGTTTTGGTGTTGAACAGTTAAATGCCTAATTAATTTGTATTTGGTTGTTGTTGGGAAATCCAAAATGTTTGTTACTTGGAGTTGTTTATGGGGCTTGAATTGTATGTCTATGAAGACTTGCATTTCTAACTAATCCCTCTGTTAGCTTTCTCACTAAAACCGCATCACAGCAAACCAAATGTCATTTGTATCAATTTTTTTTTTCAGTCATAACCCGAAACCGAGACTATAAAATAAAAAATTGAAAATAAGCTAACACTTTTTAAAAAATAATGACAAGCTTAAAACCAACCGTATTCTCATCCCTAGGTACTGTATTTTCTAAAAGCTCAAAGAGGTCCTTTTACCACTCCCAAATGTTTAATTCACCCCTTCAACCAAAAAGCTTATACCACTCCCAAATGCTTAACTCACCTCTACCAAAAAGCTCCCATTGTAACCTCAACTTGCTAAAAACTTGAAATCTCACCATTTTATAGGGCAGCAGTTTCTTTCCAATCAGTAGGTGTATCCGTGTATGGCCATGTGGCAGCATACTGGATGCAACCATCTTCATTAAAAATCTTAGCATCAACCCTAGTTATAGCAATTCCGTGATTTTATGTACAAAGAAACCTGAGGCAGTGAGTTCTAGTCCTATCTCATACCGTGGCTTTCCGCTTACAGAAGTTAGCTATTAGGGAAATTGCTACAGAGCTCTTCCATTGTTACTACTCTGTGTGAGTCTTTTTGCAAGCTGTTTCATTGAAAGGAATAAACCAGATCAAAGCTATTGATAGACACCTAGTCCTCTTCCATAGAGAGATGCAGATAAAGAAATGGGCAACTAAGTCACACACTCGCACGGGACTGCGGCGCATGACATCAGGTGGTGTCTCACGTAGGAGTGGCCTTATTTTTTTGTGTGGTTGCCAGAGTGTATGGGTGGAGCTTGAGGAGAAGAAACAGACGAAGATGGGGTAGGAAGATTATAATGCTTTTTTACCCATGTGGTCTCAAGTAGAACAAACAGAGCTAAACATCTGTTTTTTTTTTAAATGAGTAGAAGAAGATGGATTAGGAATATGGTGAGGATATGGATAGTTACTTTTGCGTCCAATAAGCTGCCTTGTGATTGCGGGCATATACCTAGTGAGTAGGAAAGAAACCAGTTCGTAACCTATAAATGGAGAGATTGCAGGTTTTTTAACAAGTAAGAGGTTACAATCGGGGCTTGCTTTTGTTGAGGGGGTGAAATTCTCGGAGTAGTACAGCACTACAGCCATACAGGGAAATTGTTTGAGTGTGACCCTTTAGCCTATTATGTTTTGTTAGAGTAACTGTTTTGTTCTCTTAGATTTTATGTGTGTATATCCTTCATTCTCTACTGACGGGGATAGTTTTGGTTGTTGACCGTCAGGTGATTCATAACGAAGTTGTGAGTAGTACCATTTCTACTTTTTGACTGATATAAGTGAGGGTGGTGTGTGTGGTTCATGCAAAAGACACCATGCAGCTCTATCATCATCCCTATTCCTTGGACAGCCAAAAAGTCAGGCTTGCTTTGGAAGAGAAAGGGATTGATTACACATCACATCATGTGAATCCCATTACTGGCAAGAATTTGGATGCCTTTTTCTTCCGTATGAACCCAAGGGCTAAACTTCCTGTTTTCCAGAACGGTTCCCACGTCATATATGATACCATAGAGATAATTCAGTAAGTATTACCTTCTCTTGCTTATCTAGATTTATGAACGAAGTAGGAATAATTCACCTTTGGTCAAGTCATTAGTTACTTTTGATGAAGTCAGAAAATAAAAGTGAAAATGACATAATAGTCGTGCGACCAAAAGTGAAACATTACGCCCTCTATTAAAAAGTTCCTTGATTCCTTCTTTGATGTCCCTAAATAAAGTCATCTTGCATAATTTGGTGAAAAGATCATATCAATTTCCTCCACAAGTCTACAATAATATTTACCCCTGGAAAAAACAGCATTTCTGGAAGTCTAAGAACAAAATCTAATTTATTTGTTCCGTGAATGTTGAAGTAACAGCTTCTTTAAGAAACAGAGCGATTAATACTTATGTGAAAGGAGTGTTTGTTAGCATTTCATTTTTGCTATTTAAACAAGTCAAAAGCTACTTATTATGTTTATTATGTTGAGAAACAAAACAAGTCACCACTTCTGACTACTAAACATTTGACAGGTATATTGAAAGGATTGCAGAGAAAGCGGCTTCTGGTGGCAATGACTTAAATGTGAGCAATCAAGAAGTTGTGGAATGGATGCGTAAGATTCAAATGTGGGACCATAAGTATTTTACGCTCATCCATGTTCCAGTGAAGCATCGTCTCCACATTTCTAAATTTTTAAGACGCATAATAATAGCCCGGATGGCTGAATGTCCAGACTTGGCAAGTGCTTATCATCGTAAGCTAAGAGAGGCGTATGAGACCGAGGAAAAGTTGGGGAATGCAGAGGTGGTGAGACGGAGTGAAGAACAACTTAAGAAGCTTTTGGATGAAGTTGAAGGCAAACTGTGTGAAACTTCTTATCTAGCTGGGGAGGAGTTCAGTTTGGCAGATGTGATGCTAATCCCCATCCTGGCTCGATTAGAGCTGTTAAACTTGGAGCTTCAGTTCATTAATACAAGACCTAATCTGGCGGAGTATTGGGCTGTGGTGAAACAGAGGCCTAGTTATAAGAAGGTGATTGGAAGGTACTTTGATGGGTGGAAACGAAAGAAAACCCTCGTTAAAACATGGTGCTTTGTCACACTCAGAGGCATGCTGCGAAAATACTGAGGGTGAAAGCGTCTCACGTCCTATGGATGGGAAAAAACTGAACTCAGAGTGACTCTTAAAGGTTTTTTACCTGTGTACTGCTAAAAAGTCAAATTGGCTTCAGAACAGATGTAATAGGAGGGAAAATATCCGATGTACAGAGTCAGAAATATTAAATTTGTGGTGCTGTAAAATTTTCCGTTATTTTTCCTGGAAAATGTTTGACATTTAATTATTTGAACTGGTTGTAAACGATTTATAATTTTATATGCGTCATGGGAGCTTGTTGATTTAAGCAGCTCGAGTGCATGACAACATTTTATTTATTGATTATTGTGACTAAAAAATGCAGCAATCAATGATCAAGAATAACAAGTATCATAATTAAATCACCTTTTTTGCATACATTAAATTGAATCAACACATGAATAATCTTTTGTGAGGTTTGCTTTCAAATCAATAACAAACATCATAAATAATTAAATAATCTGTGTGCATCTAAGTGATCAATTCAATAATTAAAACCAATTATCAAAGATTCAAAATCAATTAAATCAACACTATCAAAATGAATTAAATCAACACCGATATGAATGTGTATCACTGGACATTTGGATCTGTACCTCAAAATGAATTGAATGCATATATAGAAAGGTGCTACGTATAATCAATGCACTATTCATTTTCAGTGACAGAATTACCTAGTAGGCTAGTACAAGGGAGGAGCACTTCAAAACAAAAATCATAGGCTCTGAAGAACATTCTGTAGAAAAATGAAGCAGTTAACTTTTATGTGAAAAGGATATACCAAACCCTCCCCTTAGGAATGCTTGGCTTCCGCTTAAACATGTGAGCATGTAAATTGGTTAACCACGGGGTATTTCCATCCCAGACATATTCCACTTTTACTTTCTCCCCAAATATTTGCTTCCCAAGTCATAGGAGAGATCAAGATTTGTTGATGATAAAGTGTTTTACGGGCGTGAGTAGGCAGGCAATGGTGGGAAAGGATGGAAGGGCACACCCGGAGCAACTGCCCAACCCTCCAAGCTTCCATTTAGGGGTACCCCAATCTTGTGTACCAAGTTGAGCGGAATCCCATATGAGACTAACAGGCGCGAAGCGAATCGCTCTTGGCATTGTCCCATAACAGGTTGTTTTGCAGTGCAATGTTCAATGTGGGGTGAAAACCCAGGAGGAAAATCATTCTCTGTGGTCCATGTACAATCATCTTTGTCCGGTCCTTGGTCCCAACGGCTTTTACGTTTACGGGTCTTCATCCCATTAGGCGCTGAATGTGGGGTACTGCAAGCAGCACCAGATGGTTCTGAAGCATCTCTAGCATTACAAGATTCAATCCTATTATCCATGCGGCTGTTTTTTCTGTGTGGTGGCTTGGGTATCCACCTATCTCGGAAGTTTCTTGCGATCTGATGAACCTGTGTGCCCAACAGCACAAGGAGACAAATGTATGTGTCAGTTGGTGATTACAATGATACTTGAGCATATAGTTGAGTAACAGCAAATAAAAAATCTATATAAATTGATTAAAATTCAAAATAATAAACGGGGCTCTGGCAACAGCATCTCCTGAGATGCAACTGATTACCTGTTTGTCTATGTGCTCGGTCAATGCTAAGATCGACTCTCTAAAGCTGCAAAGTTAAAAATTGTCTTCTAATTAGCTTCTGAAGTTTTTACTATGTAATAGAGAATTGAAATAATAAAGGCATTTGTGTGGAAAAAAATACTATGCACATACTCAAATCAGCTATACTTGAATGTTCCATTATTACGTGTTCATTTATTGTTATATAAAGTAAATCTCACAGCTAGAGTTGACATTCTTAAAATCACACTAGAACTGGAAGTGCTTAGTCATTCAAAATAAAAATGTAACAAGTGACTATAATATGCAATATTCTACATACTTGCAAACCAAATAAGTAATACCAAATATAATGCAAATTAGGAATGAAAGCCGCATTATTATGGCACTGCAAAACTGGAAAGTATAACTTTTCATACCAACCTCTCCACTCCTGGTCGAGAGGGGACCCAATTAATATGCTCAATTGTAAGGATCTCTCTCAATGCCAGATATTCCAGTACCTGAACAGGAGCAACCAATAATCAACCCTAAGGCTTTGTTTGGTTGTGAAGAACTAGGAACAGAAGATATGAGAAAGAAATAGGAGAGAAGAGTATAATCTCCCTTGTTTGGTTAGGATAGACATGTTTTGAGCCAATTCTATTTCTTCTCTTATTAAGAGAAATAAGAGAAATACATTCCTAATTCTGAATCCTTTTCTCTCTTGCATTTCAAATGGACCTGTGTGTGAGAACTTTACAGGAAAATAACCATTGAACTGACGTCATGCGTTGATAAGCTAAATGAGTCTGTTACCTAGTGACTTAAAATCTCATTTACCTTAAGCAGCTTTCGAAGAATAGGTGTCTTATTGAATTCCCTCCTATATCGCTTCATTATGTTGTGTAACATCTGCAAACCTAGTAGGTACCAATAGAAAACTAAATTTGCACTTCTCAAACATCATATACATTATTCTACCAGAAAGTTAAGGGAGGGCATGCAATAATAAGCCTACAAGTTCCTACCATTCTTATTGATGATGTCGACCAAAACTGTCCTTGACTTGGTCTTCAACAGCGCACCAAGAATCATAGAGAGCTCTCGGTTGCTGCAAAAGATCTTCAAATATCATGAACCACCCATGTAGCAAAGAAAGAGTACTACACCAATGGAGAAAAGAAAGTAATCTTCTTAATTACCTCTGAATTGCTTCCCCATTACCAATATCCCCAGAAGCAGCAGTCAAAAGTAGGAGCTTTAAGTAGTACCTAGGTGCATCCTATTCCAAACAAAAAATGATCTTCCGAATTTAACACAACAGAAAAGATAAAAGACTTCTTTTAGAGTGCAAAAACTGAAACACTTTACTATATGAGAATAGAAACTTGAAGCTAAAACACAGGAATCAAGTTCCAGTCTCTAAGCAATGAAACAGTGATAATGGTCCTAATAACTAATTTAGCTCATAAAGTAAACTGTACCATAACAAAAGTCATCATCATCATCATTACCCTAGTGCCGCAAAGGCTCCCACCTACGGTGGGGTAAGGGGGGTCGGATGTACGCAGTCTTACCCCTGTATTAAATCACAGAGAGACTGTTACCGAATGACCCATAGTTAAAATCCCATCAAAAAATACATGGACTGACTGTTGCTTCACAATAAAGAAGCGCAAACAGTTTAGTGAGCCATTTTGCTTTTTCCATCATATTCTCAAGCCAAAAAATAGTGAATCTTTGGCTCCAGAAAAGTACTTGACAATAAAGTAACAGATGATTTACATTTATTCTCCAGAAATCAGAGATTAAAAACTGCTTACTTTGCTCTTGCTTATGCCACCATTCAGGTCTAGCAACTCATTCAGTTTTGCTTCCACTGCACACAACATCATGAAATACCAATGCCACTATGAGCCTACACTGCTCAAACTTACCTCAAAGAAGAAAGACACCACTGACAGGGGGTTAAGAGACAAAACACGTACCAGCTTCAAATCGACCATTTAAGGAACCTTCTGCTACTTTTTTGGGCTTATCGAGTGTCATATTTGGCATTTCCATCTCTGACTGTGCCTTGATATTTACAACATTGCTTGTGGACTTTTTCACGCAGGGTGAAGAACGGGGGCGTTTTTCTAGAGGAACCTTGCGCCTAACTGTTCCAGATTTGGATTTCTTCAATTGCTTGGTATGGGTTCCGGAAGAAACGATCTCCAACTCCGCAGGAGAGCACAAGGACTTCAGATCTTTTTCATCACCAGAGCACTTTAGTATAGCTTCAGAATTGGTTTCACTAGTTATATCTTCTGATGCTGAGGAAGTTTCTGCAGGTTGGATAGATGAGCAAGATAGTGCACATGAACCATTCAAAATCACAGATGTTTCGGCAGCAGAAGATATATTTAGTGAAGTTTCATTCTCTTCAGTATCCTTCAAGCACTCATTAGTGAATAATGTTTCTTTGATTTCTTGAGGCTCCTCAGAGGTTCTCTCTTCTGAAACTATCAATGTACTTGATGCAGATTTGATGTTGCTCAACTCATTGTACATGTCATCCTCTTCACATATTACAACAGGTTCGGGAAACTCGTCATCTGAATCGTCCTGAATGATTACCTCAGCATTTTGGGGATCACCGCCTATATAACCCCGACACTGAGGTGTACCACATACACATTTTTTTGCAGCAGCACCAAAAACACGAACATAGTTGTAATCAAATGTTAACTCTTCGCCCTGTTAACACAACCCCAAAACATAAGCTATCGCTTTTGTTGCATAAAAAACTTTTTTGAAGTTTCTTTCAAAATTCCTGCTACTACAGTGAGTGAGAGTGAAGGAGAGAGGGCAAGGGGCGCACTGAATATTACAAAAAATAAAAGTGCAAATTTAAGTGCATTTGAACAGTACAGACTATGCACAAAAAGGAAATAAAATTAAAATCACACACATTATTGCTTCTAAAAGCTTAGATATGCACTTGAACTATTTAAGAAATTTGGGAAGATTGGCATTGCACGAATTTTTTAAAAGGGTTCAGTACACATATACTCAATAATGATGGCCCACAAAGTATACCTTCTTGATGTCCCTTACTGCAAAGAGCCCAATGCAAACTTCTCCATTCACCATCCACTGTTTCAGCACATAAGAAAAAGTTAAATGACAAGAGTTATGCAATCATCACAACAAAATATATATGTCGACCTTGAACTCAACCATTCTGATACAAGAGTACAAGACCCACCCTACCTGACAATAAAACAAGTATACGGCCCTATAAGATCCATTATAATATGTAAGCAACAATCTAGTGCCGAGTTGCAGAAAGCAGCAGATAATTTTCTTGAGATTTGTGTGTGTGTAACTGTGTTTCTCCACCCCCCTCACTTAAGCGCTTCTTTCTTCATTGTTTTGGCTTATGTTTGGGGGTCTATGTGAGAATATACATGAAACATTCGTTATTGATGAAACTGCTCAACCAACATTATTCATCTAAAAAACATTCGTACATTCGTTGTTTTAACATTCTGTTTTATTTTTTTTATTGGTATGCAACCTAGGTGATTATATCTTCTGGGTCCCAGCCTCCCGAACAGAGAGTCAATATAATATTGTCTACACAGTACGCAAGCACCATGTATGTTTATTAAGACGTAATTGACAAACTGTTTTTACTGCAATGCAGCATCAGAGATGTAGAGGAACTTCATTCATTAAGAACTATGATGCAATACTAATAATGTCTCTTTAATAAGAAATAGGAAGCATAGAGAGCAAAGCAACAGCCTTTCTACATTAAAACAAAATATTAATGCAAAACTTACAGAACTACTAGATGAGGACCATGAGGTTGAGAGTAACTTTCGACAATTCAACAACATTACCCCAATGCCGCAAAGGCTCCCACCTACGGTCGGGTAAGGGGGGTCGGATGTACGCAGCCTTACCTCTGTACAAAAGCACAGAGAGACTGTTTCCGGATGACCCATAGTAACTTTCAACAATTATATAGTCTAAATAATGCAATCACCTTTTCTGTACGGCAGTTAGGATCACAGCTGTGGTTTATAAAGCGTCCCAAGTTCCCTTTAGCACATGCATCAATTACCTGAAAGTAGGGGGCAAAATAAAATATTAGAAAGCATTACAATGCACAAATAAAAGTAGAAAATGAAACATTCCAGTGTTGCTACAAAGAAACTGCAGTCCTGCTCTCAAAATAAGAGTACCATTGACCTGAGTCAATAGCTCTTTCCCTAAAATTTGCAGATCATTTTCTTGTTATACAGATTATCTCCGATTTCATATGTCGATTCATGTTAGCCAACCCCAACCTCTTTTGGGACTAAGGCTTGGATGTTGTTGTTTGTTGTACAGATGAACTTTGCAAGTGGAACATTTGAAACACAATACCTCACTACCATTGAGTGTCATAAAGTAAAAATGCTTGTGACCCTTCAGTGCATAGTCCTTTTGTCGCGCCTCATAGGCATGCACATCAAGCACCTGTAAATCCAAAATTATTGCACATCAGTTTGGTGAACCAGAGGCATAACAGTGATCACTTAAAACACATTTACAAAAACATCCATTCAATAGAAAAATATATGCACTGTTAGGCAAAATCTTCAATGTAAGAGCATGAGGATTTCCAATAGTAGAAATCTTTTTTTACTTCGATATACGACTGTATGCCAAATTTAGACTTGGCCTTTATTGAACAGGAAAGGCAAACAAACATAGCAACAATTTGCACTATTCCTTTTTGTTTATTTTGAAGAAATATGAAGGGTGTGTTTACTTGATGAAACCGTGAAGAAAATTCGGGTCTTTTTCATCATCTGCCTCGCAACTTTTACTCTCAACTTACTTATTTGCCTTCCTCCACATCATTGTCAACAGTTTGTGTTTATTATAATTATAATATTATATATGATCTGATCCTATGCATCCCCCAATTGATTTCACACACACTTTCTTCTTACTTATTGCATCTTCACAGATAGAGTCAAAGAGGCCAACACTGAAAAAAACATTGTGCAGAAGACCATGAAGAAGTAAAAAGCGGTATCACTGGTTTCCCCAATTGATTTCGCTCACACTTCATTCTTACTTATTACATCGTCACGGATAGAGTCAAAGAGGCTCACAAGGTAGAAAATTGTGTAGAAGACCATGAATGAGTTGATTATATCTATAATTTAGGGGTTATAGTTATATTGGGAATTTGGGATGAGGCATGAGGTGATTTGCGTAAACATATCGTGGGTGTAGTTGCTGTATTATGTTAACACATGGGAGAGGCTACTTGAACACATTACTAGAACTGGAAAGCAATTGCACGAACAAGATAGTCATTGACGGGACCCAAAACAAAGATAATTATGGAGGAAAGCAAAAACGAAGAAAGTTAAAGAGATTGTGGTTGCTTTCACCAGAGGATGAGAGGAAAGTTGACACGTTAATGTACTTATCTATACCAGCTCTGAAAACTTAGTTTTCAATGCAGGGGTTGTATGTATTATGGATGAGACAATTTGCATAAACAGATGATTAGGTTAGCTGCCGTGCTATGGCAAGTTATGGAAGACGCCACTTAAACACATTATTAGAATAAGAAAATAATGGCACAAGCAAGATATTTATTTTGAATGGAAAAGATAAAAACAGGGTAAATGTAAATAAATGAAAAGGTGGCTAAAAATTGTTTTATACACTAAACAGACCCCCAAATGCAGTAAAGCTTAGCCACCACTATGTATTTTCACATAAACTTATAGTCTATTAGTCTTAGCTATGTTAGACAATTCATTGACACTAACTTTCATGCAACCGGCTCCAACATAGTTGGGATTACACTGCAGTGGTGGTGACGATGGGGATGACTAAACAAGCACCGGAAGGGAACTATCTATGGCTAATTTTTTAGTTCTGCCAAACCAATATCCAGAATTGTGAGAAAAGTTACCTCTCCAACGTATTCAATGATAAAACACCCTTCAGATACATCTTCAAGAATTTGCAGCCCATAACCCTTTTTGCCACATTTATACCACTTCAAGTTAGCATAATTCCGTCTCTGAAACTGCAACCATAAGTGACATATATATTATTTCTACTGGAAGACAAAGAAATCATCTAAGAGTACACAAACCATTTTCCTTGAAAGTTCATGAACCTGTTGGTTTGAACATTGCTCGCCACTTGGGCAGGAACCTGGAACACATTCAATATTTAGCATCCGGTTCAGGCATCCATTTCCACAGCCTATTCTACCATCTGAAGGTGGCTTACAATGGCATATCATGACCTGAAAAAAAAGGAAAGCATCAATTCAAGAACCACTAGAGAATAAGAAAGCAAATTTTTAAATAAATTTTATAATACTATATAAAGCAAAAGTCCATCAATTAGTTTATATATATGATCCAGAAAACCAAATGAAAAATTGGAGCTTTGTCATGAAATGTAATTAGCATCAATTTTATGCTCTGGGTATCACTACTATCATTTCTGCAAATGGTTACTAATGTAACACCTTAATGATTGGAATACGACCATGTTTACTTTTTTACTAGGATGACGGTATAATTGACAAACAATAGTACTTGAAAATCATCAATGAAAAGAAAAATGGAAACAAAGAACAAAAGAATGAATGTTAAGTGAAACTTTCGAAGGACCTTCAACAAAAATGCAACTGTAACCTAGGGTTGCAAATTTTTGTGTTTGGAAAACATACACAAATAAATTGGTCCTCTTTTCTTATCTAAATGTTATTGCCAATGTTTTTAAATTTTTGTTGACATATATCATGTTACTAGTGAATCATGATATAGAAAGCTAAAACAGCACCCTCTTCATCATTGCCAACACCATAGTGAAAATTGCGTCGAAAATTACATGGACTGACCGCTACTTCATAACAAAGAAGCACAACAGTTTAGTGAACCATTTTGCTTTATTCCATCATATTCTACATGCATGAAAAATATCTTATTATCATGAGATGACAATGATATGAGATGTAAGCATTCTCATAAATGATACTGATGGAAGCAATGAATGGTAAGTGGGAGATATGGGACAATGTGGAGAGGATGCTAATGATAATTTGGTTTTTTTGTGATGAATATGACAGGCTTGACAGCTACTTGACTTGAGAAAATGTTGACAACTTAACTAGTGTCAATGATGAGCTCTTAATATGCACTACGCAAAATATAAAAAATGAATACAGATCCTGATGTGGATTCAATTTCTATCGGAAGGACGTCTTGGTAGAAGAAGATTTTGAAGATGCAGAAGAAATTCATGAGGAGAAAGAAATCTCCAGCAGTAAAAGTAGTGAATATAATAGAGAAGACTTAGATTTGGAAGATGAAGATGAGATGATGATTGCTGATGATTTATGAATATTTTTTATGGAACTTATGTAACAATTTTAATCTCTATCCTAGTATCCTACAACACTTCAGTTACTTTATTATTTGTATCTTTTGATTGAGGCACTAATGACGGTTTGTTGGTAAATGTCATGATGTTTGATTAATGTTTATCATTTATTTAGGTTTCCAAGGATATATGGTGTAGTATATTCTGTAAAAAACAAAATAACAATAATCTCACTATCCGCTATACTACTATAGCATTTTCAAGTCTAGCTGCTATCCGGCATTGACAATGCTGAATTGCTGAGTCATAAACACTCAAAAAGGATTGAGACATTTCTTTCAGATATTTTTTTGGATGGCAGTAATAAAACAGATTAACAGACACGTGCAAATATGTGGGGGCATGGGGCTATGTTTTAGAAAATTGCAGTAAAGCAATTAATGGAAATCAGATGGCATATTAGCTCTAAAATGATGCAGGCTTGCTATTAAACCGATTTGATTCAAAATTAACCTCATCAATGGTCTGAGACTTGCGGCTGCGGTTCAGAAATATGTTCCACTTTATCAGTGTCCATGTTGAGCTCTGAGAAACTGTGACCCATATAATGCACATATAAAATCTACACTCCTCAATAAGTAACTTTTTCAATAACAGCATAATTACAAATACCAGTACACTTTGTTGCCGAAGTATCACGATTGAGGTGTGTATCAAAAACATCTTCCTCCCCAGACATATCAGAAAGCTCTAGCTCTACATTGATCTCTGCATTTGATTTCTCTTGAGGGGTTGAGCAATCAGAAAAGTTTTTATCCAAATTATCCTTGCAAATCCTTTAACATAAATAAAATGGAAAGAAAAATAAGCAACATCCATATCAGGTGGTATGCAGTGTTATTATCTCAGCATAAAGGGAGAAACTCAAAAGAAAAAGTTCCACCTATCAACTACAAGTACAAAGTCAAAGTGGCATGTCATATCAATCAGCCTATTCAACTGATTTCTAACATTTCCACCTCAGCCTTTCTCCCATAAGTAAAAAACAATGAAAGGACTAACATTTCCACAATTACTGCAGTTTGAAAGTTCGCCGTTGAGCATATTTAGATTTCTCCAAAACAAAGACAAAAATAGAGCATAATAATGGTGTGGACTGAATACATAATGCACCTACTTAACCAGAATACAAAACAAAAAAGAACAACTTGTAACAGTAGTAAAACGAAAAAGCACTTATGCATTCAAGCTTGAAGAAGTATTTCTCTATTTTCTCTGTACCAATACTGAAGATAGATGTGTTTAATTGATTGTTTGATTAGTGTCCCACTCAATCCCAAGTTGGTTTGACAGAACTAAACATGTGGGAACAAAAAGAAGAAAATCAAAGTTGAACAAGTATGGTATACTTTGAAAAGCAAAATCAATAAACGAATATGAAAAGGCCAAGTCCTATAACCTCTGTATAAATTGTAGAGCTAAACTTGGATTTGTTTAGGTCAATAATCAAACTGAATGAACTGACTCATACTGCAAAGACCACAATGAAAACATAAGATATGCATAAAATTAAAAAATGAACTGCCCAAAGGCAAACATGTCTGCTAACTGCATGTTTGAAAATCTGAAACTTATAGAGAACTACTAAGATAAAGAGTAAAGACAGTACAATTTATAATTTGCAATCATATTCCCAACCATCAATGGATTAGCATGTTAATAATGTAGCAGATATAAACTGTATATAACTACATACAGTGTATGTCATACATTGAACAAATAAAATGAATGAAATGGTACCAACACTCCCAGAAACTAATACAGTCATGCAAAAAACTGATATAAAGATGTCATGAACACATACCATCTGCAGTTTGTTTCTTCGATTTTATCAGCAAGGAAAGCTGATATACGTCTCCACTTGTGACAATCATCACACTGAACCCAGGCATTCCTTGGCACATGATTCATGACAATGTCACTTTGGTTCAGTTTCTTTGTTTCGTTTTCTACAAAATCATTTTACAGAAAATTACGTCTTCATATAGTACCACACATAAATGTATATGGAGTATCACTTTTAAGTGATATATAACAGAAAGGCAGGTGGAATGTTGTTCAGATGAATGAAATCAGTCTAAAACCTGTTATGCTTGTTGTTGGGTTGTCTTTTACTTCAACTAAACCTATGTCATCACGAGTCATCTCCTCGTCGCACTTGCCAGATTTTTTTCCCTTGTTTCCCTTCCTTTTAGAAGCATGTTCTCTCTTTGGCGATGAATTGCAGATCTTTTCATCTTCCTGATATCTTCTACTCTCTGGAAGTTTGAGTTTGCCCAGAGAAGAAAGTGAACTCTCTGCCATTAGTGTCATTTGTGACTCTGGCAACTCAGTATTAAGGCTGTAACAAAAATTGTCCTCTCTGAGTTCATACTCTGAAATTGCATTGGAGATTCCATGAACATCCAGTACTGGTGAAGGTAATGACCCCTTAGAATGCAACTCATTGACAAGCACATCGCCAGATATATTTTCAGTAGTAGTTAAAGCAGAGGAATTGCCACAATTAGAGCCATTAGGAACCGATTTGTCATTATTCACAAATTCTAAACTAGGAATCGTACCATTTGTACAGAAATCTGACACCTTGTCTAGCCTACCTTTTTCTTTCAGCCTATCTTTTTTCTTTCTTTTTTTCAGGCTCTTTTTTTGTCCACCCACACTTAAACCATCTCTAGAAGAAAAATATGCTTGGTTGGACAACATACTAGGTGAGTCTTTTATGACTTTTTGACTGATGGGAGCACCAGAACTGACGTTGATAACTTCTGAATCTGGGGAAGTTCCAGGACCTGAGCACCTGTTGTCAACTGCTGTTCCCAATTTCTCAAGATCTGTCTGGGCAGGCTGCTTGAGATGCTCCTCCAAAGATTTTTCAGCCATTTTTTCAGCAACAGGGTTTCCATCTAGGCATAGATTCGAAATAGAAATATCAGGAAGCGTCATTGACTTGCCCGGGCATCCATTGAACCCATCGATACCTACACTTCTAGAAAACTCTGTATCAATGTCATCACAAACACTGAGTGGTTCTTTCACAATAGAAGAATGTATTTCATTTCCATTTTGAATAAGAGGGAGAACATCCATCAGGCAGCGATTACCAAATTTAACTTTCAAGGAAATGCGATTCTTTCTCACAGGTTTATGTTCATGTTGAGCTGTCTGGTTAATTTCCACCTTTTCACTTTTCTTATCCACATTGTCTCTTCTTGCTTCGCTTGGCTCATGCGCAACTATCTCAACCCCATCACTCGGTTCAGAACCATTTAAAGAACTCCCCAGTAATCTCCAAGCTGATGGTGGAGCTGGTTTCCTACGATTGTTTATTCTCTTGCGGGTAATACTCACACTCTTAAGAAGAACTGATGCATTATTCACTGCAGAAACACTGACATCTCTTCCTGATATTTGGGCTCGGCTCTGTGATTTTGAATCTTTGGACCCTTTTCCTTTCCGTGGAAACATGCACACATCAAGAAAGTTGACACTACTACACAAATTATCATCTGTTTCCTTGAAGGGTTCATCCGTTGATTTAGGAGAGACTGATAACTTCTGACCAGCACCATAAGGACTCATGACAGAAAACTAGCTTTGGAACTGCTATAATCTCCACACACAGAGATCTGGCTAATGATATATAATATCAGCAGTTACGTTTCCCTATAAGCAGGAAGTCTTGTTATCAAAGAAGAGCATACAAATAACAGACTGTTCAATTATGTATCCCCAAAAGCTTTATGTGATATGCAACGTGAATGTGTACCGCATAAATTATTTAGAGACCTTACACATAAAGATATATGTAGATCCATGCATTCAATGAACAAAAACGTATGTGCATACAAAGCAACCAAAGAGATTTTGTGCATTTGAACGCTCCTGCATTAGAAAATTAATATTGACAACTAGCACCATTTGAAATGCAATGCTAAGCATTCAATCAAATATCAATTAAAGTAATTTGACATTTGAACAGTAGATGAACAACACTGCCTAGCTTTGTATGATGGGTTTCCAAGTCCTTCACCAATTTTTGTTTTAGAAGTTACTAGTTCAACAAGTCCATTGCACGAAGGAAATACTCACTATGTCATATGGGGGAAATAGAACTTCTGTAACCATTTTAAATCATTTTTTTGGTACATGTCACCATATTAAATATTTAGAGCCAATGCTCGAATAGCTTAGAACAGCCCATGAGGCCTCCCTAACTACCTACGATATCCCTAATACTAAGAGTGCCAAAAGAGAACAGGAATACACAATGTTCTGCCGATTCACAGCAAAACTTGTGAAGAAGAATGACTAAAACCCAAAAGATAGATTCTTTTATTTATTCAATCAAACTTTTAGATGAATAAATGCGGGGGAGAAAGTTCAAATCCCAGTCAGATACGCTAAGAGTGCAGAAACATGCTCACTTTGCTAATTATGTGCGCCATAGAAGTATAGAACCCCCTACTAAATTCACTGCTCGATAGCCAATGGTGATGTATAGTTGGACGTGGAATCGGGATTGTATAAATGTATACGAATGCAAAACACGCGAACAGGGAAGAATATAAAAATTGAGACCATAGAATCATACCTGGTGCGAGGGAAAGAAGGCGACGATATCATCAGCAGCAGGGAAAATCAATTCGAAACTGGAAATTCATAAATTTATTTAATTTAATGAGATGCATATGAGGGGAGGGGGCTAGACCAAAGACGAACAAGAGGGAGGATTGTACGTGACTTGTGAGAAAGGGAAGTCCGTTTAGGATTTCCTTGTGATGCGAAAAAGTCAGGACTCACTTTTTTTTTCCGGAGCCCCTAGCTATGCAGTATGCACCCCAATTTTGTTAGTTAATTATTTAATAATAATACGGGTATATGATAGTTTTCAAACAAATAGAATGTATAAATGTATTAAGAAAAAAACGGATAACTGGTATGGAGCGAGGAATACCAATTTTGTTTTTACAGGTAATTGGGCGGTTACGACTTTATATATGTCTGCCCTCATTACCGACCTCGTACCCACCCCATTTATCTTTAGCTATGTTTTTATTACATTTTTACCTATTATTTGTCCCAAAACTTCTAAAAGATGAAATATTTATATTTTCATTATTGTATATATATGGATAATAGATATACTAATTATAGTGTATGAATAAAAGTTCATAATAGATCTTAATTATCAAATTTTTTCTTAATTAATTATTTTTCATATCAAGTATTTTTAGGTTCAAATTAATTTAGTTTGTCTTCTTTCTCTTTCCGTAGATATTCAAAACTTTAAAGTGGCGTATGAATCTAGAGTCATTTAGGTAATGTCATTTCACCTTTTAAAATATTAGTTTTATATTAAAATATCAATAACTCATTTATTAAAGTGATTACTTGCGGTTACCCGCAGTTATACTCGTTACCCGTTGGGGCGGTTATGGTTTGAGTAAAAATTACCTGTTGGGTATTGGGGCGGTTACGGGGCGGGGAAATTACCTAACGGGGCGCGTACGGTTTTAAACCGTCCCTGATCCGCCTCGTTGTCACCCCTAAGTGTCACGCCCCGGACCTACCCGGACACGTCAACAACCCGCCGTACAGTACGAATAGTCAACCGCAGTCCACTCATCCATACTATACAAGGCGTTTTGAATACCATTCACACATAGTACATCCATAAACAAAACATAATGTAAAACGTTCCTTTAAAACAGCGGAAGCATTTAATAGAAGTGTCTTAGCCACACTTTGGCAAACATGGGCATGCAAGCCCCAAATAATCATTCAAAAATAATATTCCATGAGCATTATTATAATTGTTTTGAAATCAGAAAACAGAAGAACCACGAACCACGTCTTCTTCTCTTGGTCCTCCCGGTGCAACGGACGATTGTAGCAATCTTCAAGTTCTACCTGAAACTGTGAGGTGGCCTCCCCCGTGAAGGGGAGGTCAGTATTTGGAAACATTTGACAAGTACAATGACAACTATACTAAGTATAATCAACGTTTTAATTTCCAAGACCCCCAAAAATAGGGTGATATCATAATATAAATAATAATTTATATTTCCCACTTATTATCCTTATAATAAGTAGATTCATTTATTTGTCGGCACACGGCCCTTCTTATATATTCCTTTTCATTTATTTGCACAACCCAACCCTTGGGTCTTATTATTTCTACGGGACTTGCTACCGCTGTCCGAGACCTCTGGAGGCTCTCGATTCGGACTCCAACATCCCACCTCTGGACTCATACCCATCATCTCGTAGGAAGGTAAGGCCCTTCGGGGTCCTATCTTATGTGTTACCGCTACCGGAACCTAGTTAGGTCTCCAATTCGGATTCCATCCTAACCCGTGATCACGATGCAAGTCCATGCTATCCAACCCCGCTCTCTAGAGTCGGGAAGGGCCATGGTCCTTACTTATTTTCATAATTCAACCGGCTATCCTCAAGGACTACCGAACACACCCGTAGGCCAATCCTATATCTAGGATCAATTTATTATTTACTTTATCTTGGATATCCCTTAAGGCCTACCCCTAGTATAGCTTAAAGTTCATACTTTCCTACCTTAAAGCATCTCTTAAGTCTACTTAAGGCATAACATTTCACAATCCAACCTTAGGATCAATCTTAACAACATTTCATTTTAATGTCCAACTAGTATCTTAATACTAGTCAAATTAATTCTAACAACCAAGTTCTCAACTCATAGTCATATAGACAATTCCAACTGATTTTCCATTGGAAATATCATTTATCTCAATATTCAAAATATCACTTTTAATCACTCATATATTCTAATATGAAGTAAAAAGTATATTTCAATGTATTTTCATAGTTAATCCCATTGTCAATCAACATACACATAACACATGGTCATACATAATTCATTCCTAAATTTGTATATCATGCTCCCTTTCTCTTAGACAATAGTCTTCTCATTTTTAGGCATTATTAATCATTAATAATTCATAAAAGCACATTTAATTACCTTAGGTAATCTCATGAAATTAACTCACTAATTATAAGCAATATAGTCAGACATCCTCACCTTATGAAGTGCTGAAATAGTTGCCTTTGTTAAGCTACCCGATTAATCCTCGTTTTAAACTGATAAGAAGGCAAATCTGGACTGCCTGGACAAAAGCCGGACGGCTTTCACGAAAGCTGGGCGGCTTTCGTAGTCTGCAACTACGAACAGCTCCTTTGGAGTGGCGGTTTCCGGCGATTTCGACTCCTATCGATTTGCTAACCCTTCTAAGTTAATTAACACCACTTTATAACAATATTCTACACTTTTAAACGTGTAGAACATCATGTTTAATCCACCATATGATTTCTTACAAATCATACATGATAAAACTAGTTAAAGAACAATAGATATGTTCTTACCTTAAGCTCAAACTATTTCTTGTGGATTTTCCTAACCTCCCTCTTCCTCCAACTAGAGCGTTTCTTTTTCCTTGAGCTTCTCCTGCTTGTGCTGGCCGCATGACACAAGATAGGGGGGAGGGATCACCTATTCAATCACCCAAAATAATTTTGGTGATGGGGTCATGAAGGTGCAAACTTTGTCTCTAGGAAGCTCCCCTCCCTTCTCCTTGTCCGCACAAGCCATTTAGGCTTGTCCCTCCAGCTATTACTTACTCAGCTAGCACACCTAAAAACGTGGGGTGGCCCCCACTTATGTGGGAGGTCATCCCGTTATGTCCCGGTGTGTACAATCGGCCCCGAAAGTTGTATTTCTCGGACTGTTTTAATCATATTTTATTTTATCGGGCCACATAAAATATATCACGCGTTCCTAATAATTATGGGCCTTTAGAATAGATGTACATTCCCCAACATTAATTTAGGAGTCTCCGAAACTCATTTCAGGCTGTTATCCGCTAAATTACCAATACCGGTAATTGGGCCTCGTTTGACCCACCGGTCAATTCCATGCCCTTCCCATTGCCCAATTAAAATATCCACCACCATATAGATGTCATCTAGACCAAGATGAATATAATATGTGGTTCGGGAATTATCGGGCGGTCCCCGTTCCCGCTGTGGGCCCCACATGCAATTTTCTATTCACGTAAAAGAAATTATAAAATTTAACAATTACGCAAATTTCATAAATCATCCGTCAAGGTTTATTACATCATTTACTAAAAGTAAACATGCTTGGGGACGGTATCACAAGTTCACCACCACCCCCCCCCCCCCCCCCTAATGGGAATTTCGTCCCCGAAATTCACAACGCTCATTCGAACAGGAAAGCATAGTGTTCCTTCATAAGGGCTTCTGTCTCCCAAGTTTCCTCTTCAACTCGGTCACTTTTCTAAAGGATTTTAACCATTGGAACTTTCTTGCTCCTCAACTTTTTGACTTGCCTGTCAAGTACTCTCACCGGTTGTACGGCATAATTCAAGTCTTCCCGTATTTCCACGGACGGTTTCTCTAACACATGAGATGGATCCGGAATATACTTCTTAAGCGTAGACACATGGAATACATTATGTATTTTCTTCAATTCCGGGGTCAACTGTAATCGATATGCTACGACCCCAATTCTTTCAAGAATCACAAATGGCCCTATGTAGCGTGGGTTAAGTTTCCCTCGGCTCTGAAATCGGATGATTCCTTTCCAAGGTGAAACCTTCAAAAACACCTCCTCCCCAACCTTAAACTCTAAGGCTCTTTGACGCTTATCGGCATAGCTCTTCTGTCTATCCTGTGCCGCCTTAAGTCTCTCACGAATCATCTTCACCTTTGACTTGGTGATTTCCACCAGTTCCGTACTCTCGAGTTTGGCCATGCCAACCTCATCTCAACACAAAGGTGTACGGCATCTCCTCCAATACAATGCCTCGTATGGAGGCATGCCTATACTCGCCTGATAAATGTTGTTATAGGCAAACTCCACAAGTGCCAAATGGTTATCCCAACTCCCTTGGAACTCTAATGCACAAGCTCTCAACATATCCTCTAATATCTGTATAACCCGCTCGGATTGCCCATCCGTTTGTGGATGAAAAGATGTACTGAATTTCAACTTTGTCCCCATAGATTCTTGGAACTTCGGCCAAAATCATGATGTGAATCGCGGATCTCTATCGGATACAATGGTTATCGGAACCCCATGTAGCCTCACGATCTCATCCACATACAACTTGGCTAACCTCTCTAGTGCATATGTGGTGTTGATAGGTAGGAAATGTGCACTCTTCATGAGCCTATCAACCACAACACATACAGCATCATAGTTTTTAACTGTCTGTGGCAGACCCACCACGAAATCCATAGTCACGTGTTCCCACTTCCATTCAGGAATGGAAAGTGGCTGTAATAACCCAGCTGGATGCTGATGTTCTGCCTTAACTTGCTGACAAGTAAGACACCTACTGATGTACTCGGCTATTTCCCTCTTCATACCAGACCACGAGTAACTTTCTTTCAAATCACGGTACATTTTCGTGCCTCCCAGGTGCATGGCATACGCCGATGAATGAGCCTCTTCTAAGATGGACTTTCGGAGCTCGTCATCCGACGGTACACACACTCGGTCACGAAATAATAAGAGACCATCGTCTCTTTCCCTGAAATCCTCAACCGGTCCCGCTAACATGCGTTCACGGACCTTCATAAGCTCCTCATCAGTTTCTTGACCCTTCTTGATTTCATCAAGTAATGTAGGTCTCACCTTGAATCTAGCTAACAAGGCACCATCTCCAGATACCTCCAATTGGGCTCTCAATGCCCTCAAACTAGTCAACAATGCCCCAGACGAACTCTTTCGGCTCAAGGCATCCGCTACCACGTTGGCTTTATCGGGGTGGTACTCAA